TGCATCTCGTCGACGTTCACGATGCTGTTGATGGTCCGGCCCATAATCTCCAGCACCAAGACGTTGGTACCGCAAACCTTCCCGTGACGTCCTCCACAGGTACTGCAGCACCTTCTCTCCAATCCTCGTGACCCCCCGAGGTCTCTTCGTAGTCCACTGTCCCATCACGGCTACCGCGTAGGTGATGTCCGGCCTCGTCCTCGAAGAAAGCCACAACAGCTCTCCAGTGATGACTTGCGCCTGCCGCACATCTTCAGGACTCGGGGGCCCTTCCTCCTCCGGAATCCCCACTCCTCCTAGCGTGCCACCCTTGGCGATGTGATGCCGGTCCAGTAGGTCTGCCGTGTAGGACTCCTGATGCATCCGGATCCCTTGCTCATCATGAGAGAATTCAAACCCGCAAAACCGCAGGTCCTCTGTCTCCGACAGCCACTCCGGGTCGCTGGTGTCCCAAACCTGCCGGATCTTGAGCAGCGTCGCCGCCACCGCCCCGCGATCTCCAGTGATCAACAGGTCGTCGATGTAGACCGCCATGTAGCCCACCGTCTCATCTTGTCCGTGCCGACTGCTCTTGATCCTCCACAGATTCACCTCCTTGGTTTTCTCGAACCAGCAAGCCCATGTGCCCTCGTCATCTTCCATCTCCCAGTTGATCGCGCCCATGGTTTCGTCCCGGTGGTTCGCCCAGTCCTTGGGTGACGTCGTAAGGCCGTAAACGGATCCCTCCACCGCCCAAAGCTCTCCCGGCTCAGTGATCTGGCACTCCTGAAAGATGGTGGGAGGGTTGACCACTACAATGTCCTTGGACCGGCCCGGCGGCACTTGCAAGAACGCCGTCTTCACATCGACCCCCGCAAGAGTCCATCCTCGCTGCGCTCCAGCCGCCACCATCGCCCTCACTTGAGACGCGTCAATGCCTCCAGCGTAGGTGTCCGCCGCAGGCCTCTCCGACATGAAGTTTCCACAGGCGACCCCACGGCATTTCCGACGTCCTGTAGCAGCTTTCCTCGTGAACACCGCTTTCCCCGGAACCCGGTCGTACGGTATGCCCTTCTCCAGCGCCTCCTTCTTGAGCGCCTCGGCTTCCCGCTGATTGATGGCCCGGATCACGCCCGAGTTCAGCAAAGCCGCCCTCTCTTCTACCATAGAAGGCCTCCACTTCTCCACTTCTTTCCTCACATCTGCCAAGGCGTAGGTCTTGGTCTGAAGAAAGACCTCTTCTTCTGTTGCCTTTCTCGCACAGGTCTCCTCAGAGTCAAGATCCTCAGCCTTCTGCATTGCCGCCAACCATGCCCCCACTCGAGCGTCCTCCTCCGCCAGCATCCCGACGGTCTTCTTTACCATGTCGTGGTCAGCGCCTTGTTCCTCTTCTAGACGCCATTCCTCCTCCATCATGTGCCTCCCCCGGGCCTGACATTCCATCACCAAGGTCCTCAGGTCTGGCTCCCATTCTCGATCTTCCAACGCAGGCGGCCTCTTGGATGTAATCCTCCTCCGCGGACCACCTCCTCCTGGCCATCCATCTTCTGCTCCAGCACCACCAGCAAGTGGCCCTTCCTCTTCAGGCGGTTCCTCCGTCTCAATCACATCCGTGGTGTGGAAGAAGTTCCCATCCT